ATTTTACAAATCTCAAAGTTAAAAAAATTAATTCATACAATGCATATTTTCCTGCCAAAATTAAATTAATTATAAGTCAAAAATAGAGCTCTGAAAAAAATTACCAAATATTTGAAAAATAAACAACATATCTCCAAATAACCCATGGGTCAAATAAGTTAATTAAGAAGTTAATTGAACTGGAAGCAAACTTATGGGAAATTTTACAGAACCATAACCTACGTTAGAATAAAGAATATCTCAGTCAGTGACCTCAACTTCCATTATAATAAGCTAAGAAAAAAAGACATAAAATCCAGTGTAAGCCAAAGAAAGGAATAATAATGATCAGAGTATGTATTAATGTATAAGAAAATAAACACATCACAGAAAATATCAATGAAACTAAAAGTTAGTACTTTGAGAAGACCTATAAACCTCTGGCCAGACTAATCAGTAAAAAACAGGGAAAAAGAGAGAAGACACAAATTAGTAATATTAAGAATGGGAGAGAGAAATCGCCATAAATTCTACAGATATCAAAAGGATCACAGGGAGCATTATAAATACCTTTATTAAAAATTAATTTGACAGTTTAAATAAAGTGGACAAAATCCTTGGATGATGAAAACTACCAAAATTCACTCAAGAAAAAAATAACTTGAATAGTCTCCGATATATAAAGCATTCAGTTTGTAGTTAAAAACTTTCCCAGGAAGAAACTCCAAGCCCAGATGACTTCACTGCTGAATTCTACCAAATATTTAGGGAAAAATAATATCAATTCTACACCAATCATTGAGTAAACCAAGAAGAAGAAACACTTCCTAACTCATTTCATGAGTCCAGCACTACACTGATAATAAAAGCAGACAAAGATATTACAAGAAAATTAAAGTAGGAGACCTCATGACTATACATGCAATCATTTTCACAAAACTTTAGCAAGTATAATCCAATAATATACAAAAAGTATAATACATCACTACTAAGTAGAACCTACCCCAGGAGGGCAAGGCTGATCTTTTAACTTAAAGAAAAAAGGGGAAAAAAAAAACCACTGAAATTCATCATATTAACAAACCAAAAAGAAAACTATATATCATTCTCAATTGATGGAGAAAAAGCATTTGACAAAATCAACACAAACCTTCTTCAATACTATAAAGGGCAAATTTGGGAGATCTACAGTTAATATCATACTTATATGCAAAAGACTAAATATTTTTTGCCTAATATCAAGAATAACATAATCTATGCAGTCTCATTTCATATATTTAAAAGTTTCCCATAGTTCTATACAGTTGAATAAGGTAAGGAGAAGAAATAAATCATCTAGATGGAAAAAGAATTAAGAGTGTATTTATTCATAGAAAAAATAATCAACTATGTAGAAAATTCAATGAAATGTACAAAAAAGCTATTAGAACTAATGAGTATGTTTAGAAAGTCTTCAGTATATAAGATCAATATACAAAAATCAATTGTATTTCTATATATTAGCAATAAACAACTGGAAATTGAAATTTAAAAATCAATACCATTTAGAATAGCATGATTAGCTGCTAGGGATAAATTTCACAAAAGATATGAGAAACCTATATGATTAAAATTAAAAAACATTGCTGAGACAAACTAAAGATGACTCAAATAAAATAGAGTGATTCTGTGTTCATGAATCAGAAGATTCAATATTGTTAAGATGTTAAATCTCCTAAATTGATCTAAAGATTCCAATCGAAATTCCATCAGCCTTTTCATAGAAACTGACAAACTGATTATAAAAATTCATGTCATATTAACCTCTTATCAGAGAAATAGTTTGCAAATATTTTTCTCCCATTCTATAGATTGTCTTTTCATTTTCTTGTTTCCTTTGATCTATAGAAGCTTTTTAGTTTGATGTCATCCCACTTGTTAATTTTTGCTTTTGTTGCCTATGTTTTGGTGTCATATAAAAAAAAATCATGGTCATGATTCTTCCTTATGTTTACTTATAGGCATTTAATAGTTTCATCTCTTCCATTTAAGTTTTTAATCCATTTCAAATAAATTATTGTGTGTGGAGTAAGATAAGGGTCCAATTTCATTCTTTTGCACATGTATATATAGTTTTCCCACCACTACTTATTGAAGAGACTGTCTTTTCCTGCACTGTGTATCCTTGGCAGCCTTGTCACAGATTAGTTGAGTGTGTATACATGGGTTTATTTCTGGACTCTTGATTCTGTTCCATTGATCTATGTGTCTTGTTTTAAGCCATACTGTTTCCATTACTATAGTTTTATAATATAATTTGAAATCAGGAAGTATGATACCTCCAGCTTTGTTCTTCTTTCTCAAGAATTCTTTGACTATTCAGGGTCTTTTGTAGTTCCATATAAATTTTAGGGCTGTTTTTCCTACCTCTGTGAAAAAATAGCCAAAAAAGAAATTATCTAATTAAACGGGCAAAGAATCTGAAGCAACATTTTTGCAAAGATTCACAATTAGCCAACAGGTATATGAAAAAATGCTCAACAGCACTAATCATCAGGGAAATGCAAATAAAAGCCACAATGAGAAATTACCTTATACCTACTAGCATGGATATCCTCACACACAAAAAAAAGATATTAAGTGTTGTTGAGGGTGTGGAGAAAAGTGAACTCTTGTACACTGTCCGTAGGATTATAAATTGGTACATCTACTGTAGAAAGCAGTATGGTAGATTCTCAAAAAATTAAAAATAGAACTACCATATGATACTGCAATTCTACTTCTTAATATATATCCAAAGGAAATGAAATCAATATTTCAAAGAGCTATGTATTATATATAAAGTATCATGCATACGCTTATACATATATACATTAGCAAATATATATGTACCTACATAATAGAATATCATTTGGGTGCATGCTGAGTGCATGACACTCAGTCACATCCAACTCTTTGTGATCCTGTGAACAGTAGCCAGCCAGGCTCCTCTATCCATGGAATTTTCCAGGCAAGAATACTAGAGTGGGTTGCCATTTTCTACTCCAGAAGATCTTCCTGACCCAGGGATAGAACCCCCTTCTCCTGCATCTCCTGCATTGACAGGCATCATTCAGTCATAAAAAAGAAAGAAATCCTGCCATTTGCAACAACATGTGAGCCTGGAGGACACCTATGCTAAGTGAAATACTGTAACCCTGATACAGTAAGACAGTTGTCATATGACTCACTCATATGTAGAATTTGAAAATCAAATTCATAGAACTTAAAGTTGAACAATGGTTGTGAGGGGCCAAAGGGTGGGGAGAATGGGGAAATATTGGTCAAAGAGTACAAACTTTCAGTTATAAGATGAATAAGTTCTTGGATTCTAACTTATACCATGGTGACTAGATTAATACAGTTAAAAATACTCTGTTATATATAATACAGTACAGGTTCGATGCATGAGACAGGATGCTCAGGGCTGCTGTGCTGGGTTGACCCTGAGGGATGGGATGGGATGGGGAGGGAGGTGGGAGGGCGGGTCATGATGGAGAACTCATGTACACCCATGGCTGATTCATGTGAATGTATGGCAAAAACCACCACAATACTGTAAAGTAATTAGCCTCCAATTAAAATAAATTTTAAAAATAAATGTTAATTAATCTAATCAGGGTAATAACTTCATAGTGTACATGTACATTAAATTATCATGTTGTATACCCTAAGTACATATAATTTTTCTTTGTCAACTATACCTACATAAGGTAGGGGGAAATCATATAGAAGCATAATGGATCAAAAATAACTGAAACAACTTTGTAAAGGAATAAAGAACTAGAACAACCTCATTTTAAAACTTAACACAAAGCTACAATAATCAAAACAGTGTGATATTGGCCTCAAGGTAGGCAGTATAAACAGAACACAATATGGAGTCAAAAATAGACACATATATCACGTATATGGACAATAGATTTTCAACAAAAGTACAAGAGCAATTCAGTAGGGAAAGAATAGTCTTCCCAAGATAGTCTTGGAACAGTTGGATATCAATATGCAAAAAAAGCATGATATACAAAGGTGAACTCAAAATGGATCACAGACTTAAATTTAAAACCTAAAGCTACAAATTTTTATAATAAAATATATGAGAAAATCTTTGCAGCTTTAAATTGGTCAATGTTTCCTTAAATATGACAACAAAAACCCAATCCATAAAAGAAAAAGCTGATAAATTCTTTTTCATCAAAATTGATGCTCTTATTCTTCAAAGTACACTGTTAGGAGTATGAAAAGGCAAGGGACAGACTGAAAGAAATTCTTTGCAAGCATATGCAGAAAATATAAAGAGCTCTCAAAACTCAATTTTAAAAAAAAAACTATTTTTTAAATGTCCAAAAGGTTTGAAAAGACACTTCAACAAAGAAGATATATAGATAACAGGTAAGCAACTGAAAAGATGCTCAACATCATCTGTCATTCTAAAAACGTGTATCTAAACTACAATGAGATACTTCTATGTATCTATTAGAATGGTTGAAATTGGGAACACTGACCACACCAAGTGGTGATGATCCATGTGGATTTGGAGCACGCAGAACTCACATGTATCACAAACGGGAACATAATATGGTACAACCTCTTTGGAAAACAGTTTAGGATTTCAAAATTTAAACATATATGATCCATTCATTCTTTACTTAGATAGTTACCCAAGAGGAATGAAAACATATGAAACCAAATGTTCATAGCAATTTTATTTGTAAAAGCCAGAAATTGGAAAAAAAAAAAAAGACAAATGTCCATTGATGGGCAAATGAATAAACAAACTGCATAACATCTGTACAATACTATTCAACAATGAGAAGGAATAAAATATTGGTACAATAACATAGATGCATTTCAAAATACTAATGCTGAGTTAAAGACAGGCAAAAAAGAACACATGCTGTATGATTCTATTCACATAAATTTTAGAATATGTAAATTAATCTATAATGATATCAAGCACATCAGTGGTTGCCTGGGGACAACAGGAGTAGGTAAAGGGGGTGGAACCCTTTGGGGAAACTTATAGTGGTGATGGATATGTTCATTATTTTTATTATTGTGATTGTTTCACAGGAGTATACATTTATCAAAACTTACCAAATTGTACTTGTTTAAAATGTGCTTCAAGGTAACTCTATAATAAAGCTACTCGGGGAAAAAAAAAAAAAGTTATAAAAGTACAAGGGACCAGAAACAGTGTATTTTGCTCTTAATTTATGTTATGTAATTTCATGTCATGTTGTGTTTTATGTTATGTTAGGAACTTTTTAAAAAGATATTATTTATAAGAGTGAAGGAATCATGAAAGAAGTTTCAGTGGATGGTGTAAAAAACCAAGTTAGTGCTTCAAAGCTAGTTGGGAGGAAGCCAGGGATTGGAGGAAATAAGACTTAGGCTTCATGCATGAAACCTAAGCTGCCTTGGGTTCATGAGGCAGCAAAAGAAGTCAGGAGGTGGATGGGGTTTGATGGTTGTTCAGAAAGGGAGGAAGATCAACCAAGGAAACCCTGCCATCAACTCTCACAGCCTAAAAAGAGACCCCTTGGTGGACAGTGACAGAGAAAAGCTACTAGGAGTTTACTAATCCAGCTTACCCTAAAATCCCAGGGCTTTAGGAAAACTCCAAGAGAAGCAAAGCTTTATAAATTTTCTGAATAAGTGAGATCAGTACAAATGATCTTGATTGTAATCCCCTCTTGGAAAGAAAAACGTCTGAACTGTGCCTTCTGAATAGGGCTGCTTACAATCTAACACTAGCAGATTGCATGCATATACTCCTATACTAGTATATTGTTGATTTTCAAATGAGCTTTAATAAGTAGAAATATATAAATGGCTCAGGGAAGTCTACTCAGTGCTCTGTGCTGACCTAAAGGACATCCAAAATAGAGGGAATAAAAGTATATGTATAGACAATTCACTTTACTGTTCAGTAGAAACTAACACAAATTGTAAGGCAACTGTACTCCAATAAAAATACATTTTAAAAAGTAGAAATATAAAAAGTAAAAGGCAAAACCAAAAATAAGAGTTATAATATTTTATTCCACATTCCAGATCATCTTATGTACCAGGGAATCACACCTCACTTAGGAGACCACAGAGTTAGATTAAACATTCTAGTCATGTCTGGGCTTCCCTGGTGGCTCAGATGGTGAAGAATCCACCTGCAATGCAAGAGAGCTGGGTTCCATCCCTGGGTTGGGAAGATCCCCTGGAGGAGGGTATAGCAACCCACTCCAGTATTCTTGCCTAGAGAATCTGCATGGACAGAGGACCCTGGTGGGCTACAGTCCATGGGGTCACAAAGAGTCAGACACCACTGAACAATTAAGCACACAGTCATGTCTAGTGGACAGGGAATAATCTGATGTGGTGGACTGTGACAATAAGAAAAATATAAATATCTGTGATATCAAAACATTGGAAGAGATTGGCCTAGCCAAAGGAGAATAACTAGTCAAATTTATACACATTTGACAGACTAGTAAGCAACTGTTTAAGGTGATGTTTTCAAAGAATATTCCCGAACATTTAAAAATGTTCATGATGTGGTGTTACATGAGAAAAATCAATGTATAACACTGAGAAAGATTCCAAAATATATATTTTGTAAATATATATATATATCTCACAGAAAAATCTGGAAGAAATTTATTGAGGGGTGGTTAAATTGCAGATAATTTCATATTTCTACTTTATACTTTTAGTATCTTGCAAATGCTCTACATGAATGCTTTCCACTTTATAACCACAAAAACACAATAATTTTGTAAATAAAGCATTATAAATAAACAACTCCACCAGGCAGTAAAAAGTGGTGACACTAAGGAAGCATCTATAATTCCGATGAGACATTAGCAAGTTTGGAAAGAAGATTTTTAAATGAAAAATCAGAACACTAAAAGTCACGTAAAGGATTCTGGGTTCTCAGTAGTCAGGCTTCAGGGACCTACCAGCACTAGGGGCTATCTGATTACTCCATTCCTCTGCAAACACCCATTCAGCTGATTATGGGCAATGGGCTCTGGTCAAGACCCTGGGGATAGAAGGATGCATCAGATGCAGAAGGCCCTGCCCCGGAAGTGTTTCCCAGTCAGTGCTCTGTGTTCCCATGTTGTGTTATCACAAACACAAAGCAAAACTACTTTTCTTCCTTTACACAAGGTGGTTTTTTGTTTTTCCATAAAACAAGATGATTGAGGGATATTCTGGCCACTGAAACCCAGAAAAGCAAGGCAATTAGAGCTTGTAGATAGGCAAATAAAATGAAAATATCAGACAGGCTGAAAGGTTAGGGTCTTCATTCTGAAGGTTGGGAAGGGAAGGGATTTGGATCCACAGAACCTGAAACCCATGGGGCACTGACTTCTTAACCAGATTCCAAAACTCTGTGACTAGGAGATGTCCTATGAAATGCGATCCAGGTTTAGCTCCAGACATAAAAGGAAGCAGTTTCTCTCACACTGAGTAATAAACGGATTGGAACTTATTGGAATTCATCGCCCCCAAGAGGTGGTGCTGGCAGGAAATAAAAATGCCTTCCAAAAGCTTTGGACAAATTTATGAAAGATAGAATCATATATGACCTCTCTTGCTCACTTCCTCTTGCTCTTTCTCACTCAAGCAGACTCCACCCTTAGAAACCGAGCCAGGGTTTGCCCTGAAAGATTCTTCCCAGATGTCCCCTAAGGGCCAGGCAAGGTCAAGGTAGGTCCCCACTCTGTGCTCCTATATCCCCCTGTGTGTAACCAGTCATCACCCTAAAAACACAGTATTATTATTTATTCCCTGTTGATGGGTCTGTGCCCCCACTAGTTGTGACATCTGCAAAGGTAGCACTGAGTCAGAGCTCAACTGATGTGGGTTGAAAGAGTGTTATATGGACTCTACCCTTTTTTGTTTAAAAAGAAAAAAGCTGTGCCTGACTTTTTGCGACCCCTTGGACTATAGCCCACCAGGCTCTGCTGTTCATGAATTTCCCAGGCAAGAATGCTGGAGTGGGTTGCCATTTCCTTCTGCAGGGGATCTTCCAGACTCAGGGATCAAACCCGCATTCCCAGCATCTCCTGCTTTGTCAGGCAGATTCTTTACCACTGAACTTGGGAAACCCCAAGCACTGCTTTCCCTCAGGGAAAAATCTTGAGAAATGTGTACTGGTTGGAGTGTTGACTTCTTTCAAGTCCTCACTCTCCACTGCCCCATGTATTCCCAGAGCAGAAAATCTGATAGAAAGGTAGGTAGGATACCCTCTCAGACACCACCAAGTGAAATCCTGCGAAAACATCTCATGGAAGAAACAGCTCTTAGAAATTCCTGGGGGACTGATGTCTGGCGAACTCTCATCCCACCCCACTTCATCACCTCCCAGACTTGCTCACCAGACAGCTCTGTTGTCCACCATTGTGAGCTTCTGAGCTCTGATTTGCAAGTCAGTTCCCTGGGAATTTCATGATAAAATACATTCAGCTCCGTTATGTCAAGGACACAGTCTCCTGTATCTCCTCTAAAACCTTTTTTAATAACATTAGTCTCCCCATATGTGTGCCAAGATTCTTCAGCTTGAGGCTGGAAGGATTTTAATTTATTTTTCCATTAATGGTTAGGATCCATGCTAAACCTGTAAATATTGTTTCTATAAATTCACTGCAGTGCTAATTTTTAATGCAAATAAATAAACAGACTGAGCAACTCAGAGACAGTTTGCCCCAATGGAGCTTTTGCAAATCGTCTTCATTTGGCATAGGAGAGAAGAGAGTGGAACACTTTATATTCTGGTAAGTTGCAGTGATCAGCTAGGGTCCAGTTTCTTCATTCGTGGGATTTCTCAAGGATATATGGGAGAAAGGAAAGATAAATCAAAAGTAGAGATCATAATACCATACAGTTGCTAAAGTTGGAAAAGATCTTAGGGATTTTCTACTAAAACTCTCTCTTGTTTTATGGGTGAAATATGTGGTCACAGAAAGAGTAAGGCCTGCCTGGGGATATATGGCCCAAGAGTAGCTGTGCAAAGTCCAGAAATGGCAGCCTACTTTAGGTCCCCAAAAACATCAAGGAGTGCTTTTGTTGGCAGAGCCCCTGTGGCTAAGTTTGTGATTATCATTCAGTGCCAGTGACCCACCAGGGTCATCACATGGCACAGATTCTCCTGGTCTGTGCTCATTTGAAATCTTCTACTCTATAGATTACATACGTCTATTTAAACATATTATATGTTTACTCTGATTTGGGGTTCCCAAAATACAGTCACTAAAATTGCTCAAAACCTATAGAGGTAGAATATGAGGCCTTGCCAAGAATCTTAGGAGCCCAGAGCCCAGACTCTGACCAGGACTCAGAGATCCAGAGTGCAATGAGCCCGGGCCTTAAAGTGCTCTAGATATGGGGGTCCTCTGACAAAAGAAGAGAAAAGCACAGAAAAGCCCAAGGTAAAGTTATCAGTCTAGAAATCCTGAAAACTGAAATATTTGGGTTGCCCTTCATTGGCTGGAAGAAACCCATGAGCACAGTCTCCAAAGTGGCATTTCTCAACAGTTCTCAAAATAATAGGTTATGACAGTGGCAGGGGAAAGGCATTATAGAAAGCAGGCTTGAAATATCAGATTGACAATTGCTGGCTAGACTGTGAGATGTCTAAAGAAGATGGGCTGCAGGTGATGGCTTCTCCATGTGCTCATCCTTCCACCACTCAAAACTGCCTCCTCTGCCCTCTTAGAACCACCCTCTTCTGGAACTGGGGGAGGCAAAGAGGGTACAGTTAGAAAGAACAGGATCCAGTGAGGACCTGAATCTTAAAAGAGATTCATCGGTGTAGAAGTCTACCCCTGCAGTCAGGCGATGATTCCCATCAAGCAAGACTCAAAGAATGCACTGAGCAGGAACGGCCACCACCATGCCCCAGGTCTCTGGGAGTCTAATGACTGTTGGGAGAAGACATGGGCCACAGAGGCTTCATCATCTGGTGTTTGTGGATCTGTCTTGTGATCCTCTGTCACTTTGATGACAGTGATTCCCAAGCATGGCTGAGTGTTCACTGGTCTGGGATTGCAGGCTGCTGAGAGGTGGTAGGAGGGGAAGAAAGATGAGGTGACAGCTGCACAGAGTGGGTCCAGGCTGGGGCCTCTGCCTATCCAATATTCAGGGCTGAAGCAGGTCTTCCTCCCTGGGGCTTAGCTGTGTGATCTTTAGAGAAATATTTATACTCTTCATAGGGGAGAACAAATCTGATTGTATTGATTATCTATTCAAGAGTGCGTCCAGATTACAATTCCTCTTTTTCATTGTATTTAATTTGGGGGTGAATTTATTGGTGGTGGGGAAGTCCTTCAGATTTCAAACTGGGAAATAAACTGCCAGTATAAAAGACTCTGAGACTCTTTGTTCTTATTGGTTTGCAGAAAGACCTTGGGAGCAAGAGAAAAGACTACAGCAGGACTGAGCTAGCTATTATACGACCCTCTATTACAGTTTTCTACAGATAGAAAACTCATCTTTCTCAGAGAAGGAACTCAGAAAGGAAATGAAAAAAGAAAAATTCACTGAGTCTAACTTTTGTCACATGGGATGTTGTCATATTTTCTGGATCATACATTGACTTCTACTTTTACAGATGCTTCTATAATTTGAATAAAAGAGAAAAAAAAAACACCACAAGCCCTGGGTTTTGGCTCTGGAAAGAAGTACAGGAAGAGACAGACTAGACCATAATCAGGTAATAAGGAAATATGTGATTTTTAAGTTACTATTGATATTTTGAACTGTGAAAGTATGCAGACCTAAGTATATGGCCCTGTGCTTGATGACTCTTCAGCGGGTAACTGGATATAGGAACCTGGGTCAAGAACTTGGTTTGGGTTAGAGAGGGAAGTTGAACTGCTCTATTTAAGAAAGTAGTCAGAGGATAATAAACATACTCCCCAGAGCTCCTCCCCCCATGGAAATCCTGTCCCCACCCCTCAAGTGCCCCCCTTGCTCTGGCCTGCAGCCAGGGTATCCAGGCTACTAACCTCCCACCCCAAACACCCACTGCTCCCTTCTCCTCTCCACACCCACCACCGGCCCTGGCAAAACTTCTGCCAATTCCTGGACACCTGGAATCAAGGCTAGGATTGGAAGAGAAGATGAAGCCAAAGGCAGAAGGCAAAGAAAGTTCATAGACAAGCAAGGCACCCAAAGCAGTAAGCATTCCTTTTCTTCCTGCATCAACTACAGGGCTATGCCTTCCTGCCCATATGTCCAACCAACCTGTCTCTCCAACATGCTTCTGATGCTTTTATGCAATACTGTGCTGAGGGAGATAACCCTATTCCCCAAGCCTGAGACACTCATTGATACCTGGTCCTAACTGAAGAGGAAAAAATTGGAAAAAGGCCACTGGGCCAGTATGATTATCTTCTTCCTTCTCAGTTAACCTTGTAGCTGCCAGGTTCAAAAGTTTAGCAATTTTTGAAAATAGTGAACCTTTGAGCTATATGTGGAAGACAAATTTTAAATTAGTAAACTGTGATGTATCACATTTTGGTAATTGGTGATAACAGAGGTGACAAAAGTATATTAAGAACATTGTTCCATTTTTCTTAATGGTTGCTTAGCAGAGTGTTTTGAGAGTGGGAAAACTCTTTTCCCAGTAGGCTTGTTTTGCCTATGCTTACCGCAGGGTCCGCTAACAATGATATCTACCTTATCTGCATTCCTCAACCTGTTATGATGTATCAGATACTACTACTTTCTTTTTCCAGATGCTAATCCCAATAAAACTATTTCTCCTGGGGTTGTGAGCAGAGAGAATAAATGAACAACTGCAAGTCTGTGGTTTGAGTCAGAAAATGGAAGAGGGGGCTCAAGAGGAAAAAAGATGGCAGTAAGCCAAGGCCTGTGGGGGATTCTGTCTAATTTTCAAGTATAATGCCTACACTCAATTTTAAGCAGTTGCCTATCAGCCCTAACATTACCCACAGATGATCCTTAATTAAAAGTGTCCTGTGCACATCAAATGTGTTAGCGGTAATTTGGGGTAGATTTAAGAAACTAGAAGGTCTTCAACTTGAAGCAAAAATGTGTAGAAAATTAATAATGGTAAAGGAAGCAAGACAAAGAGCTGAATCCAGAATTCAGAAACTAAAATACTAAATCAAAATTTAACTAGGAAAAAGAACAGCTTCCAGATGAACTAATATAAAGAAGAGATACTAGTATAACCACAACTAAATTTTTAAAAAAAGAGTTCTCTAAAATTATATAATGGGCTCCAGTTTCAAATTATAAAGAAAAATGGTAAATGAACCTAAATTGATGGCATAAGCACATTAATTATTCCAAGATATTGTAAAACACATCAGTTGGCTTTCCATCCAATGTAGAATAAGCTCTAAAGATAAAAGAACTGCAAAAATATTGTAAACTATATGTATCCAATTATCATATTGTTATTTACATTATGAGTTTTATTATTCTTTGGTTGTTTTATGTGTATTGTGGGAATAAACAAATATTTACTTGAATGAATAAATGAATGCTTATGTTGACATTTTTAAGAACTGGGATTTTCAGTGTAGGAGAAGGAGTTACAGGCATAAAAATAATGAGGTTAAATAAAACCCCATAATCCTGAATTTGGGGTACAAGTACCAGAATGAAATCATGATGAATTTTATCTTTTGAAAATGTAAATATTTCCTGGCTCAGTCTGCTGAAAAGTACAACAACAATGACCAATCCAGTAGCAGTGAGCACTTCGAGTATCCAGACTATGGTTTCTAAATATTTCTCCAAAAAGGACTCTCCTTGAAGAATGGCTGACTCCAGATCTGGGACAAGAAATGAATAAAGAAACCTCAAAATATCTTATAATACTATAAAGTTAGGAAGCAAATGAGAAATACTAGGATTTTATCAAAAGGAATCAGGATCCAAATTGAAAGTCTCCCACTATCCAAAGCTGGGATAATTTGGCCATTGATAAGGATAAGTTTTGATGGCTTGATACCATATCAAATATGTTTGAATTCATAAGCCCAAATGATGCTAAAGAAAAATAACAACAGCAAAAAAGTAACTTTTGGAAAATTAGAAAAATCAGTTCACTATTTCAAAGATTGGTAAATATAAAGAAAATATCAAGAAATTTTCTTTCTTATAAACAAATCGATGCTTAGGGAAGGTTTTACTTTATAGAAGTTTTCTAGGTTTCAAGGGAAGAAGAAGTGATGGGGTTAGGAAATCAATATTTGGAAACTACAAATGAACTGATGGATCTAGACAATTATTATCAATGTTGATTACATCATGAAGAGTGACACCTGAATGGACATAGCCAGCTTCCTGATAAAAGTACAGAACTCCTCCAATGGAGTGGTCTTCTAAAAAAAAAAAAAGAAAGAAAGAAAAAGTTGAATCTAATCAAGCCTAGATCTAACTGGCAATTTAGAGGAACAGAGGAACTCATTAAGTGACGCCATGGGATCCAATTAGTAAAATCCAGACAGTAGAAAACCCTTTAGGACAGACAATTCAGTTTCTTCAACAACTAAATTAAAAGAAAAAGTGAAAATAGGAACATTTAGGTTAAAAGAGACTTATGATAGGTATCAGTAATTGCAATGTGTGGACCTCGTTTATATCTGGGTTGAAGCAAACTATAAAATGTAAAAAGAATGAAACAGTTGAGAAAATGTGAGTGTTGATTGGCTATTTAATGATGTCACAGGATTTTCCTTCTGTAATAATGAATGGTATTCTGGTTATGGTGAGGAATTCTTTTAAAAAAAAAATCCCTAAATTTTAGAGATACATACATATTTATATGGGCTTCCCAGGTGGGGCTAGTGGTAAAGAACCTACCTGTCAGTGCAGGAGACTCAGCAGACTCTAGTTCAATCCCTGGGTCAGGAAGATCCCCTGGAGGAGGGCAGGGCAACACACTCCTGTATTCCTGCCTGGAGAATCCCATGGACAGAGGAGTCTGGCGGGCTACAGTCCATAGCATAACCAACAGTTGGACGCAACTAAAGTGACTTAGCACACACACATGCACATGTTTATGTATGAATCGACATACTGGCTGAAATTTACTTCAAGAAATGGGGATGGTGGAGAGGGCAAGGTCAGTGAGTAGGAATATAAAGGAAACAAGATTGGCTGTGAGCTTACTAATATTGAAGCTGGATGATGGACACCTAGGGCTTTGTTACATTATTCTCTCTCCTTTTGTATGTTCATTTTTTCCCTTAATAAAAATGTTTTAATTTTAAAAAAGAGGAAAGAGAAGAGGATGTTGGCATAAGAGAAATACTGAAATCATTTAAAAAGTCATCAAAGGGAATTTTCNGCCATTGCCTACTCCATCTCCTTTCATAAGTGTATCTATTTTCCCATATAGAGAGCGGTCCTCTCAGTCCTCCAGAGCTGGCCAATCTGAAACCAGTGCCATGAGGAGGAGTTTAATTCTGTAACTTACAAAGAGTTGGCCACTAATTAGCAAAATTGGGGGAGGTCATTAGTGGACCAGGGGTCATTAATTAGAACCCCAGGAGTTGAGGGTCTTGCTTGTTTGGATACTGGACCATTTAACTTTTTCAGTGCCTTTGATCAAAGTATGTACCATGATTCTCTGTAAACCCATACCCAGCTCTATCTATCTCACACTGACATTACCTGCCTGCCCCTGGGACCCTGGGAAACCCTGGCCCATACCCTAAATTCTAAAAGAATTCTGCCTCAAAGATTTAGAGATTTTCTTTATTCTATAGCACTTAAAAACACTATCACAAAGCCATTCGGATGCTGCTATTGTACAGTTCAGTCAAATTCAGTACCCACCCTTTCTTTCACCCATTCTGCCTCTCTACCTTTAAACCTTGAAGCCCAGAGACTTCTAGTAATATGAATTTATTGACAAAAAATGTCTTCCTATAGCTCAACAAAATCTCCATTTTCTCCTGTTTTCTGGACAAAAACACATTGGGATGCTTAAAAATCATTGAGTGGATTTGATCTGGTGAGAAAAGTCAAGTCAAAGTAGCCTATCTCATTTAGATAAAATAATTGCAGTAGAATGAGTAACTTCATGTTTGCCCTCCTTGATGAACTTTAAGATGAAACTAGAATTAGTTTAGGAATATCACAATAGGATCATTCTATTAGGAAACCCTGCCTCTGAGAAAAAAATGATTGACATGCTTTCAAATAGCCTTAGAGGACTATGATTTGGAACAGGAAAACAATCTGGGGGTTGTGCAATGAGTTAGGCCTAGAATAAGCTTCCAAGAGTTTGAAGACTGATTCTGCCAGTTTCCTGCCTTGGGCATGTCATTTCACCTCTCTGAGCCTCGGTTTCTCAGATTTCTCTATGAAGTGGGAATATTGTTTTTTCTACTTTATAGGGCTATTGGAGAATTAAATAAGATCATGAATGTGAGGGAGTGCCTGGAAAATAGCAGATGTTCAATTATTGCTTCCGCTTTGTTACATGAAAGTCAGCTGAGACCATATCTGAGCCAAAAAAGGAACCTGGTTTGTGCTTTCAGAATTCACAGATATAGGTTAGAGAAAACTGAGTAGACCCAGCAAAGAGGAGACAATAACTCTGAAAAGAAACTGTCTTCCTGAGTCAGGGGAAAGGATTATTTGCCATTTGGAATAAGATGAAGGCAATGCTGAACTGGAGATTGCTATAGACTATTGGGGATCGTTGTTGTTCAGTCACTGTCATGTCCGGCTCTTGGCAGTCCCATGGACAAATATGCCAGTCTCCTCTGTCCTCCACTATCTACTGGAGTTTGCTTAAATTCATTTTCACTGAGTCGGTGATGCCATCCATCCATCTCATCCTCTGCCACCCCCTTCTCCTCCTGCCCTCAATCTTTCCCAGATCAGGGTCTTTTCCAATGAGTCTTTTCTTAACACCTTTTCTCAGCATGAGGTGGCCAAAGTATTGGAACTTCAGCTTCAGCAACAGTCCTTCCAATAAATATTCAGGTTGATTCCCTTTAGGATTGACTGGTTTGATCTCCTTGTAGTCTAAGGGACTCTGAAGAGTCTTCTCCAACAATTTTATTTCCCCTGCCAAAAAAAAAGATATATTGAACACTTAATGCCCAGTGTGATGGTATTGGGGGGAGGTTCTTTGGGAAGTAAATAGATCATGAGGGTGAAGCCCCCATGACGGGATTAGTACCCTCTCAAGAAGAGACAGAGAGAGTGACTCCCTCTTCTTTATGTGAAAATATAGCAAGAAGGTGTCCATTTACAAACAAAGAGAATCCTCACGAGGAACTTAATCATTCAGAACCTTGATCTTGTACTTATCAGCCTCTAGAATTGTGAGAAATAAATTTCTGCTAGTTAAGCCACCCATTTTGTTATAGCAGCTCAAGTGAACTAAGCTAAACACATTTCTGGCAAGTTTCTGAGTTTCTCAAGAGGTCTTGCTCCTAAATTGGATGATTTATAGGAAATTTCAGGCTGCATCCAAAACGTATATACCTACTTGGAATTTTTGCCATAATCAATGTATTGGAACCAATAAGACCATGTTATCTACAGATTTACATGAAGGTCTTTGGCAAATAGCCATGGGGAAAATATCTAGACAGCAACATTTATAACACCAATTGGAGTGTTAGATTTTAATGAGTTCAATTTGGACCAAGGTCTATGTTTATGACTTTACAAAGGTTGATCAATGGAATACACAAGGGGCTAAGAATTTCCACCATGGCCTGTGTTCATAAAATTGCTCTATTTGTTAACAGTGTAGAGGTATGCCTGGGTCATCTCAAATTGTAACTCAGAGCAGAGTCCAAGTTAATCTTGTGTGAAACTCGGTCAATACCAGGCTACTTCCCAGGACCCAAAGGTGGTAAAAGGAGGAAAGAGTCTAACTTTTTATTTTCTGGCCACTTGTTTCTAAATTCTGTTTAGACTATTGTTTCTAAACTCTGCTTCCTACAATTACAAAG